ACGCCCTGAAAAGATTGAAACGGACGAATTGCAAGCACTGCTGGATATAAACTCTGCGCAAACTGAAAAGGAGCTTGCAGAACAGCTTGGCGTTACGCAGCAATTAATATTTTTTCGTTTGTTTTTAAATAAAGATTGAATTTTACAAAAAAAAGCTCAGAACTTTTTTGTACACCTAATACATATATTCTTTTATATAAAGATACATGCAAATTTTATTAATATCGTGAAACAATTTGTGCTAAATACAGCTTTGGCTAAAAGTACTAAATATCTTGATAATCATTATTTAATTTTTCAATTAATAAATTAATTTAAGTAATAATACTATTATTACTGCAAATTATTCTGTGTTTCAGAAATTCTTTAAACTTACGTATGAGCCGATTATACAGCTCGACAAAGTAACATATGAATTATTTAAAATAAAAAATATAAAATAAGTTTCTAAGTAATTATATATAGAGACTTTGATACATACTAGTAATTATGTTTGTTAAAAACGAGCTAAAATCTTGCATAAAGAAACATATAACTTCATAATTTTATAAGATATTATAAGACAAAATTAACTAAATTAACTTGTTTGTTTTAAATTAATTTTTAATTTCATTTATTAAAATTTAACAACTTTTATTTATGTATGTAGAAGATGCGAAATTAAAATTGTTTCATTCAAGGACCCATTAAACTATCCTTCCTATGGATAGTCGGCACACTTCTGTTCTGAGGATTTAATACAGAGACGAACCACATTTATTTTCGACTATACAATTTTATCGATAGTGTCAGAAAATGTATGTAGTCACGTAGTTCTCAAATTGAAACTAGATGTACTAGTGGTAGTGTACGGACGATTTGGATGATTAACAGGAAAAAAACCGACATGGCCTTTCTCAGGTTTCTCTAGGTTTCTCTCTGGTGATAGTAAATTTTTATCTTTGTCATTCTCTGAATATCAAGAAGGATAGAACGACATTTATCTCGACTCATTAAATGGAAAGCATCTATCTTAGGATTCCCTTTTATCAATTGTCAATATACAGTTTTATTAATATAATTTACATAGTTATCGACAGGCTAAAGAACTCACTGTTGCTCATTGTTCACATTGCTTGAAATCGCCAAATTTTTTGCAATTATATAATGAGATAAATATATTTAGACATTTAAGAGAGAGAAAACAAAGATTCTAAGTACAACAATTGCAAGTAAATAGATTTAATGATTTAATTAGTATACAAAGAAGTATAAACCTATTCGACAAATTAAAGGATACGAAAAAATGTTTATATTTGTTTACTTGCTTGCAAATATTGTTTTATGAGATAATTAAAGGAAAAATTGAAAGAAAAAATTCAAGAAAAAATTATTTCTTTGCTTTGAATCAGTGATTCATATAGCTATAAACTAAAAAGATATATGTTTTTAACCTTAAAATGTTACAAGCTTCCAAGAATGTGGCACGTTTTTTACTTTCCAGTAAGTGTTTTCAATATGATACAGTTAAAAATATCTCTCTGAATTTTTTCGGTATTTTTCACATTGTGACATTTTTACAGCATGGCAATCTGTATCTATAACACCAGTAGCTGGTTTAAAGACCTTTCCTCTGCCAATAAAATTTGGCGGTAAGTATATCACACAATTATATGTAAATATTATTATAAATGTTGAAGAAACTAATTTAATATTATATTTAATATATTGTCATTAGATATTGAATTTCCGGATCGAGCAAAACTCAAGGTAGTGGATAGAGTTCCACAGTTTCCACCAGGAATGCGTGCTCCCAAAATGCAAAAGCGACTAAGATACATGCGGGGTCCAGAACAAATACATAATTTCCTTATGTACAGACAATTTGGTATCATTGTAAGTCTGTATTTTTGATACATTTAAGTCAGTATTATAGTAGATTCTTATATTTAAGACCGTCTTAAATACAGTTTAAAATATAAACCAGAGTTAGCATTTTATTAAAATATTAATAAAAATAGAAACAAATTCTTATACTATTTTTAGGACAGTATTCATAGACAGTTCTTATTTATTCTTAGTGATAAGAAAAATCTTAGAAATGTATTATCATTTTCTTAAATCATAGGCTACAGGAGGAGGTAGATTGAAACATGGTCATTTTGAGATGATACGTTTAACAATTGGTAGAAAACTCGATCAACAAAGGATGTTTGCAATTTGGCGTGTGGATCCACCATGGCAACCAGTTACAAAAAAGGTTTAACAATTATAATGAATCGTACAATATGGACAATACTAAAGAAATACTTTCTTACTATAATAATTATGTTTTAGGGACAAGGGCATCGTATGGGTGGAGGTAAAGGTGCTATTGACCATTATGTTACTCCTATTAAAGCAGGACGAGTCATTATGGAAGTTGGTGGCCATTGTGAATATTTTGAGGTATCTTGATAATGTACTGTTTTTTAACATTTTTAAAAATAACTTGTCCAGACAGCCTGTGAGGCTAAAATATATCTTAAAGATATCTTTAGAAAATTCTTGAAATTTTAAATAGCACAATTTTGTTCTACAATATTTTGTTGATTTTCAAAATTTTTTTACCATTAATAGGGCATCGAAAAATAATACAATATATTGATTTTATATATGAATTTGATTTCAATAAATCTTCATGATTCAAACTCCCGAATTTTTTGAAATCGCTATTCCTGGGATTTTGAAAAATTGTAATTTTAAGTAATGCATTCTTTTTGATTTCCTGATATTTCATCAAGTTCCGTGAATTTAAATTTTTGTGTTAAAATTGCAAATTTTTGCTTATTTTGCACCATGTACAGCAGTACAAGCAGTTAAGTAGGACACGAGATATTAGAAAGGACTTCTAAATGGAAAATGTAAATAAAATGGAAATATACTGAAACATAAAATTTTTTTTAGGTAAAGAAAGTATTAAACCAAATAGCAAATCAACTACCGTTCAAAGCCATAGCTGTCAGTCAACAAATTCTAGATAAAAATGCAGCTAAAGAGAAATGGTTGGAAGAAAACAATCAGCAGCTTTGGACTTGGAAATACATGGTTCAGAATAACATGCTTGGTTGCCAAAAATGGTTATCACCATTTGATAAATTATGGTTTAATAAATATTTGTAAATAACAAAAATATATTTGAAGAAAATATGTTTGTATTTTTCCTTTTTGAAATCATAAATTATCCCTCGACATAATTAAGATTATCCAAATATACAAAAAAATGAAAATGATCTAGATTCTAGAATAAAGTTATTGTCCAGTTTTCATGAATAAGGAGATTCGCGAACGTAAAACGTAGACTTACAGAACTTGCGTAATCAAGGCAAATATTTCTTCATTCTGATTGGTTGGCAGTTGCAAATCTCGACGCATAGTCCAATACGGGCTTAATGTTTGTAGCTTTCATCTCACAATTTACACATGTGACATCACACACATTCCTTTCGATTATTTTTGTATCTATTAGGTTTTTGAGGTTAAGACTAAGAAAGTACGTATAAACACATGTTAATATTTTAATAATATTTGATGATGACACAAAAACTCCAGTAAAATACGAGATTTTTTATCATATATGTATATTATAATATGAAATTTATGGATATGCACGTTATCTCCAAAACCTATTTTCATACATGGTTAAAAAGTCAAATATTGTTCTTTACTAAGCATTTTATTCAATTTTGATAAAAATGATAAATAACTGGAAAATAACACAAATCTTTTTTTACAGATGACAAAATTACTAGAATGGCTATCTTGTGCAACTGTAATCTTTGGCGTGTGGTTTGCTACAATTACAAGCAACTCTGTTCTTGTCAAAGAATGGCGTGAAATTATACTTTTCCTTCCAATTATCTCCTTATTTCTCTTTGGATTATATGCAATTGCTGTTGTCTTGTTCAGGGTACTCACTTTTAATAACTGTGAAAGCGCAGCCATTGAACTTCAACGAGTTAGTTATCTTTTTTTTTAGAAGGCATAGTTGTACATGTAATATATTGTTATCTAATACTGTTGCTTTTTCTTTTAGCAAATAGAAGAAGCTAAGAAGGATCTTCAGAGCAAAGGTATAATATTACAAGGGACTGATGTTTCTTCAACTTCATAAAACTTTTGTAAATAGTATAATGTAAAATATATAAAATATTACTTTTCTAATTTGTACATATATGATTTTGTATATAAATTTTGATATAAATTT